TATTCCCACTTCCGACTTCCGACCTCTGAGTACAAAGCGAACGCACCATAAGCATGAACTGAAAGAGTTTGGCGGTCAAAGGTCACTGTGGCCTTTGATAAAATTTCACCCAAATATCCAATAGAATAAAAATAATGAAATGATGACATTTAATATCCAAAAGGTCAAAAGTCACCTTCACTTGCAGCAAAAACACTTTTCTGGCCATTATTCAGGGATATAACTCAGGAGCAGAGGGGGAGACATTTGGTCAGATACTGAATTGGTGACAATAATCTTGGGTGATTGTATAGATCTTCTTTGCTGCTGGGTTAAGACATGTGTCAAGCAATCATTTAGAATCTGTAGCTCCTTTGCAGAAACTTGTCAAACTGTCATGGCTATACGAGTCTGAACAGATATGGATGTAAACTGTAACTGGAATTTGACTGCATGGCGGAGGCATACAACTGTAAGGCGGTAATTCTGCTGTTTTTATCCTAATCCAAGAACAGTCAATTCTCTTCGACTGGCACCATTTTATCCCAGTGCATGACACTGACTCTGTGAGCTTGCAAAGCATAACTTGCTTTTCAGCTCTGCTATTGTGATAGCATTCAAACATGAGGTGAGAACATCAACAAGAAATAATCTGTTTAACTCAGCAATAAAAAACAGAAGTGAGTTCAGTTCCAAATCACATCCGTTGTGTCTGTTTTGTTTTTTTGCAGGGGCACCAGGAGGTGTTAAAAACTAATCCTGCATCCGGTCTCCTGTTGAACTAATCAGGAAATTAGTGAGACTTGATTGACAATTTTTCTCACACTGAGTATCACCCCACTCCAGTGTGAGACCAGACGATCATTAGAAGGCTCCCTGCAGCTCATATCCTGAGACAGATGACTGCATTAATAAAGAGAAGTGGATGTAGTTCATTATGCAGACCCTTTATTAAGCATCAAATAATGAAAGTCATGTTGCTGAATGTGTGGAGTCAGCTTTAAAGAAGGCACAGGTCATGAAGGGTTTTATGTTTACCAGGACACCGACCTCTATGAGACCCATCTGCTTTCCTTGCTGCACATGATGATGGGTTAGAGAGAAGATGAAAGGCAGTGAACCAGTGATGGACTCACATTAGTGTGTGTGTGGCTGTGTGTGTGTGTGTGTGTGCATACGGAGGCCTACGTACAGCATACTCCATACTCCTTTTCATTTTTGGTGTTCATTCTGTTTTTTTATTCACATCAGAGGATCTTGAGGACAGAGAGTGTGAATTATAAACTCCAGTCTGAGTCAGTGCTTTAACAAGACTTCAGTCTCTCACTGCTGACGTTTCTCAGAGCTCAAAGCTGTTGTGCTGCGTCTGTTTGCTGTGATGTTATAGCAAAGTCAGGCGAAAAGTTATCTTGTCTAGCCGGTCTCATTTAAACTCATATTCCGTATTCTGCCGGCTTTGATCAAACATTAATAGGATGCAGAATATGCAACAGATAGAACATATACACTGACACATTCATTGCTTGTGCTCCTATAGCAGACAAAGACCACACTATCTTTCAGCGAAGCATTCACATAGTCTTTTTTTCATAAGCAACAGATGCTTCCCTGGGAAGAGTCCAAAACAAAAAAAAGCAAAGAATATGTGCACGCTAATATTACAAAACTATAAATAAATTCTCATAAAATAGATAAATAAATAAATAGCCAACATTCCTTTCAGAAAATAATGCAACAAAACATAGCCACACATTAACCCACATACAGAGACACAGCGCCTCTCTTTTGTGTAAATGCTCTCTGTGTTTGTGCAGCACCGTGAGCAGAGTTACAAGATGCTCCTGGCCAACATGTCCAGTACAGTACAGAGTACACTCACTGCAAGCTGCCACACAGCAAGCTGCCTCGCCAATCTTATTTTCTGATCAGCTGATAAATGCAAATGTAAAAATTCACTTTATTCTCCTTTTGTTCTTCTGAATAAATTAAATCATAGTATAGCAAACACACATATGGTAAGAAGAGTTGAGAAAATGTGAGTCTTCCATAGAGGACAATGAAAAAAATACTGGACATAGCCATCATGATGTCACCCACTGGTTTGTGGATTCCCATTCTGAAGCCTCAAGTTTGGCATTTGGCTGTCGCCATCTTGGATTATTGGAGCTAGAAGTGACCATATTTGGATGGGAGGGTGGACCTGTGGATGACAAGGGGTGGATCTGACCAAGAGCCCAAGGACACTATTCTCAGACAGCCTGTCAGTCGAAGCAGTCATGCCCATAATAGTGTGTAACTTTAAAGGTCCAGTGTGTTGGATTTAGAGGAATATATTGGCAGAAATGAAATATAATATACTCATTTTCTTTAGTGTATAATCACCTGAAAATAAGAATGTTTATGTTACCTTTTTATATCTGCATAGAGGGCAGGTCCTTGTCCCTGTAGATCCCCATGTTGCATCACCATGTTTCTACAGTAGCCTACAATGGACACACCAAACTCTGGCTCTAGAGAGAGCCATTTGCTTTTTTGCATCGGCTACCGTAGTAAAGCCCCTCTTTGATGAGCAGCATCAGAAAAAACAGTGATTTTGTTGTAATGTGAAAGTGCTTTATTCAGTGTTTTTAACCACTTTCACTCACCAGATCTGTTGCTTTGGAGAGGAAGAGACCTCTGCCAATAATTCGGTGGTAAAAACCTCCTGAAAGTCTGTATCTTAGGTAATCAGAGAAAATAGGTGCTGGAACAGCGTAGGAAAAACACTGATTTGTAATGTGAAACTGCTTTAGTCTGTGTTTCTATCAGTTTAAATCAGCAGGTCTGTTTGTTTTGAAGAGGAAGAAACCCTTGTGGATAATTGGACTCACAATGAACACTGAAGGAATTCTTACTCAGGTGATTTTTCAGCTGGTTGCAATCTGCAGTCCTATCTGCTCAGTGTCACGAAATCCAATAGATGTTACACACTGGACCTTTATGCCTTAATGAAATGTAAATGGATGAGTTATATAAAAATTCACCTCCTGTGCAGTTGTCATGAAGGGGGAAATTAGCTGTTTTTTGTACCAGGCTGTAAACATGTCTGCTTTTGCTGTAAAGTTGGGCAGTTTGATAAAGGTGCCTGTGGAGATTGACTCTCTTTTGGAGCCAGCCTCAAGTGGCCATTCATGTCACTGCAGTCTTTGGGCACCTCCTGTTATCTGGTGTGGAGAACATGAACCCAAATGCAGGAGAAAGCAGACCACAGGAGCTCAGAAAGACCACACTTTATTTCAGGAAACATGAACTGAACATTACACAACCAAATCAGGGTTTAAACAAAGACTGACCTGAAAACCAGGACTTAAATACAAGCTAGGCTGATGAGGAGATGAAGTGCAGGTGGAGAAACCAGGTGGACACGCTCAGGTGAGGGGAATAAAGTGATGAGTAGAAGAACAGGCAGGAAGCTGATAGGCTGGGAAAAACTCAGGAGCAGGGACGGACTGATGAAGCTTACACAGGGCAGGTGTGCAGCTGGGTAAATGAGGGAAAGGCATTAACTGGGGGAGGAAGAACAGGTGAGTGAAACTAATCAGGGCGGGGCTGACAAATATTGTTTCACAAAGTCAGGGATCCTTCCTAGGAAGGACTCGTCCTACCAAGGAAGGATCCCTGACTGACCTACAGAGGCAAGGCAAGAGTCCTTTCTTGCATCCGGTGAACACACATCAGAACAGGTTAACGAGAGTCCCCAGGTGTGCGTCATTAACACTCAGCGGACTGAGGAGGCTTCAGGATATTGTGATAATTTTGGCACTCTCTAATGTCGTTGTACAATTTGAACAAATGTAAGCAGTAGGCTATTTTCAGATACACGTGACTTGAATATTTTCTGGAGTATACTTTGACAAAAAAGGGTAGGCCAAATGAAACTTTTGTGACACTTGGCGCTCTATATCTGCTGTAAATGATTAATTTAAAAACTTTAATGTTTTATTTTAATCACGGTATTTTTTAAAGCTCATTATTTGGCGGTGGACACATTGGAAAGTGTTAATTATGAGGTTTCTGTCATTGCTTGTATGATCAAAATGCCTGGAGATACTAATCCAAAAAATGACATATTTATCTAAATCCAGCCGAGCCCTGCCTTCGCCTCCAGCAAATCATGTGCGCAGAGAATTGTGGGTGCTTTATACCTGCTGAGGATACACACATGCAACCTTGAAAATTCTCTGAAGGAAGGACTCAGTCCTCGGTAGAATTTGAAGGATTCTTGACATTGGAACATTAGGTGGGAATTGACGATGTAGCCTCCTTGAAATTCAGCAATTTAAGGATTCGTCCTTGACTATGAGAAACACCTGAAGACTGAGGCAGGGAAACACACAAAGACAGGAAATAAAAGCAGACATGATACATTAGGAGTGAATCTACAAAATAAAACATGAAACAAGAATACAAAGAGAAAACCCAACAAACAAAATCCTGGAGAATGAAAAAACCTTGAATCATGACACCTCCATGCTGGCTTCATTTTTCAGCCCCAGAGGTTGCTGCTTGGTGTCTGAAACAGGAAAAACCAGACAGAAAAGACGAACATAGTATCAGCAGTAAACAGTATGGAGCATAAAACAGGAATTATGACCTGTACCCTGTAAAAAACCATGTTACAGCAATTTACTGCGCCCTGTTCGTGACTTAGACCAACAACACACACGCTGCTGAATGTTGCCGTTAATCTATACTGACATTTTAAATTAAATGCTGCCTGCCGAGCTAACGAACCCTCCGTGTCTCCTCTCTGTCAGGATTTGGGAACATCTCTCCTCACACAGAAGGTGGGCGGATCTTCTGTATAATTTACGCTCTGCTTGGGATTCCCCTGTTTGGATTCTTATTGGCTGGTGTCGGCGACCAACTGGGGACCATTTTTGGGAAGGGCATCGCCAGAGTAGAGAAGATGATTGTGGTGAGTTCCTATCATTTGTATGAGCTTGTTTTTGTCTCTGAATCATTTGCACCTCGCTGTATGTTGACCTGTGTGCAATGAGCCATTTTAATGTGGACATTCGCTTTTGACAACTTAATTACCAAGGTAATGCAAAGGCAGCTGTAAAATTATACCACCTGCTCTGAGCTGTTCCTATAAACAGCTACAGTAAGTCTAAGTGTCAAGGTTAAAGCGGCAACATAAACACCCCTAAACAGTACAGCAAAAGATTCACATTAAAAAGTGCAGGGTTTGTTCTTCTCTCAGACTTCAGCAGGCAGTGATGTGGACAAAGTGGATGCAGTTTTTGGGTTGCCATACCAACAGACTCCTGGAAACCAATCTGAAATGCAAACAGTTTCAGTATTAAAAGATCAGATTAGTAAATTACAGTTGTTTCAGAGTAATATTTCAAAATTCAGCAAAGAAAACAGTTGTTTTTGTTTCCTATTGTGCTGAACTCACCGCTCTGCTCCCATCGCATTTCTTTGTTTATGGCAGTAGATTAAACTAGCAGCACGCAGATCGATAACTCTGAAATAATGATGCTAGGCTTATTTACCCCACCGCAAGTCACACATTGACGTCTGTCCATACACAAGCCCCTAAAAACACATGCATGCACATGAACACACACATAAGCCTACTGCTGGAGCAGTTAAAGGCACCATTAGTCATGATGGACACCAAGAATATAAATGGACTGTGCTGGACAATCTGGTTGATGGGTAGTCATTACATTTCTCCTGGAAACTCAAAGGCTGAAAAACAAAAAGCAGTTAAACAGCTGCTCAGTATGCAGGCCAATAAGGACGATCTCTGATAACAGTGTTTATCCTCTTATTGTAAAAACTAATAACTGCTGTTTCATTTTTAACTTGTTCCTGTACCAGCACCACATGTGCTTTTTATCATCATTTATCAAATGGACTGTGCAGCTAATAGATGAGTAGGGGGGGTTATAATGAATCATAATGACACTGATCTATAATAAACTTAATCATAGAGATGGATGAAAACTGTCTCCCAAAAAAAGCAGACAAGGAGATACATAGTACAGTACATGGAAAAATGTGAGCAAGTATAATTTAAAGTGACATTTTGAAAGCAAATACAGTTGTTAAATAACATAGATAAATAATAGTTTGGTGGAAGCAAGGAAAAGACATATAAATGCACATCCTTAAAATGATGGGGAGGATGTTTCAGTGTGAGGGTTTATGACATAATTGCATTATTAAGTTAGGCTTTTGTCCTGAAGCAAGCAAAAGTTACAGTAATGTAAAGCCCAGTGCAGACCAAAGATTTGCCATGACACAAAACTGTTTTAGAACGTTGCAGAGCCAGTGGATGGTGTTGGAAGGAGGGGCACTGGGGGGAAGGTTGTGCCAAAAGGTTGTGTCTGAGGTTCCTAAGCAACCATAACCAGCACTATATCATAGCCTACTTACCAGAAATCCTGAGTGCAGAGCTGATTTTCTTCCAGGTGCTGTTTTGTAAGTGTGTGTAGGACCAAAAAAGTATTGTCTGTGGGACAGGTGTGACGCAAAATTAGAACGACATTGCTCTGGCCTCCTTGTCACTCCTACCTGCCAACCTATTACCTGTCGACCTATTCCTGCTCCTGCCTGTCCATCACATCCACCTCATTTAGGCAACTCAGTTCACCTGTTCCCGATTACACTCAGTCAGTATATATACTCCAACCTCACAGACACTTTTTGCCAGATTGTTTTTTGCCACTCATGCAAGACTCCCCAGCGCTTTATCCTGGACTTTTTTTCCGTTGCCGACCCTACCTGCCTCTGACCTGCCTGCTTTGTCTGATTCCCGGTAAACCCATCAGCCTTCTGCCCCTGACCAGGAGACCTACTTCTGCGTCCTTGGTATCTCTTTGCCAGTGGCTGCTTTGCATTTTCATCCGACGATGACGCCACAGTGTGTGTTCCGCTCAGCTTACTTGTGGTTTCCTGTTGTCCAGAGATTTTTACCGTGTCACCACACATGCCAATGTGTATGCGTCCTGTTCGTACTTACCTGCTGGCTTGACCATTCGCCTGGCCTCGACCTATCCTATCCCCTACTGAGTTCTTACCCTGGTTCCGGATTTTCTGCCTCCTCTTTTACGTCCCGTGCCTGCTCTTGGCAACTAAATGTGTTAGTTGTTGGGCAAACTCCACCACTCGCTCATCCGCCTCTCAGCTCTGTTCAGTTTGCCAAACTAGCCGGGCTGCCAAGGACATCGCTGGAGTGTTGAACTGTATTGTGAGCTGTTTACTAGTCCTGTTCTGTACCTGCTGAGTAATAACAGTAAATATCATAACCAACTGTTGCTGGCCTCTGTTGTGCTGCTTTTGGGTCCTAATCCCACACGTTACAGGGAGAAAAACAACAACAAATGAGTGTGCTGGTGAAGAAAAACAGCACAAATGCTTGCAGTCACACTAACTTTCGTTACAAGAGTATGGAGAGTTAACACACAGTGAGTAGCTGCAATGCACCCAATGCACCGCTCTGGGTGTCAGAGGACCGTGAGTTGTGTACAGTACATTGGCTGAGGAGTCATAAGTACAAGCTAATATCGTCATGGTCCAACGGGACGATTGAACTGCAGAATGAAATTCTTTTCCCATAGTGACCCTCAGTGATTTGAAACAGTTCAGACTGCTGCCACGGGTGTTGTTATCACAATTAGCTGTCTTTATGTCCCTGATGATGGAGTTCCTCGATAACATGCTGTAATCAGAGCTGAGGACGGAGAGACTGGGTTACGTTTAGGCAACAAAACCACTTTGGTGAAGCTTGGGAAAACATTGTGGTTTCAGATCAGTGTTAATAAAGTAAACACACCCATTCTTGTTCCTCAAGTACATGTTGACTTTTTCCATATTCAACAAACACCACAATCTCCTTGGTGCCGTGGGTGCTGAAACATAACTATACAGAGGTTTAATAATACTTTTGTTGCTATGAGTGGACGCTGATACTGTAGGTTCAGTATCAAGATTGTGCGGCTTGCTAGATACATTAATTAAAGTTGTTTCCTAATTATGTTGAGAAATACACAACGTAGGTGGCATTTGGTTTGCCTGATTGCTGTTGCAAGTAATTATTACATCAAAATAATTTCAAGGAAACAGTGTTATGAAGAGAGTCACCTAGGCAGCAGCAATGGTAGAGAATCCCAAAGTTATTATATCTTTCAAACGGAGACCCTTTTTTTGGGATGTTCTTTTGTATCTGTGTGCAGTCATGTTTGTACAAACAGTCATGGATGCAGGGCTAAAACATAGCTTGTACAAAAGCAGTGGACATTGTGATGTCACCCAGTGGTTTGTGGACTGCTGTTTTGAAGCCGCAAGTTTGTCATTTTGTTTGTCACCATCTTGGATTTTTTGAGCCAGAAGTGGCTGTATCTGTACAAGAGGGTGAAGCTAACCCTATCGCCATCTGCTGGCTTGGTTATCATGGTGCATAGAGTAGTGCAGGAATGAGTTAGCACTGTAGCGCTCCCAGCTCCCTCGTGTCAAAGTAAGTGGATTTTTGGTTAAATGCCTAATAAGATCTGTAATTAACACAAGCGTAAGAGACTTTCACATTTTGTTTTTCGACATGAAATACGTCAGTAAATACTCTATTCATGAATTTTGAAGGCTTTAAGTGTCTTAATGAAGATGGTTGCTATCAAGTGGCGAAATGAGACTACAGAGTTTCATCACATCAAACAATGCCAAACATAGCTTTACAGCCTTGTTCTAATGAGGACGTCCTCTGTCTCTCCCTCTCTTTATGTATCATTTTGTCATATGGATTACTGTAGATTTATTATGCTGATCTGTTCTGTACGACATCTATTGCACATTTGTCTGTCATGGAAGAGGGATCCCTTCGCAGTTGCTCTTCCTGAGGTTTCTACCATATTTTTCCCTGTTAAAGGTTTTTTGGGAGAGTTTTCCCTTATTCGCTGTGAGGGTTCAAAGGACAGAGGGATGTCGTATGCTGTAAAGACCCGACACAGAGCTGTTTTTCTGCAATAATCCAAATCCAATGGCAAAATCTCAGTCTTTTTTGGGCGATGCTAAAACCGTTAAAAGTAGCCTCCATACCAGAAAAACAGAACATCTGACCGCTTAGGGGCCATGCACATGCCGTGTCTTTAACAGCGTGAAAAAAGCGAGATCAGGCACTGGGCGCTACTCTTGTGCCTTTTCTGTGCCAGCTTTTAAGAGCATGGTGGCAGGTTGCATCCGAGGTTGCTAAGCAACTTCAACAAACACCGTATCATAGCCTATCTATCTGAAATCCTGAGTGCAGAGCTGATCTTCTTCAAGGCACTGTTTGTGTGTAGGCCTATTGTCCGTGGCACAGATGCGAAGCTCTGGCAGCCCTGCACTAAACTGATCAACTTCTTCTCCATATTTATCACAAACTGATATTTACAGGGGAAAGATATCTGTCGCAACCGTTGCACCCTGAAAAATAGACCCTCGGGAACGTGTGCTTGCCACGACAGCATCGCTCTGGCGCTTGAGTGCACCTGCCATGCGTCTACATTGAAAACAACGAATATGAAGGCGCAAAAAACGCGGCAAGTGCACAGCCCCTTAGAGTGTCTTTTAGTAGCCTACAAAAAATGCTAAGCAAGGCTTTTTTAAAGTTGAAACAGCAACAGCTACAGCTATGCCTACACTCTTTGAATCTGAGAACCCGAGGACATCGCCATGGTAGCAACTTGTCAATCACAAGGTGGTCACGCCCTGAGGCAAAACCTGCTTTATCATCTATTTTACTCTAAATGGGGCTATGAATTGCAAAATGAACATCATGCTGTATGAAAGAAGATTTGAAACTAGCAATTGAGAGCATGAGACTCATTAGGAAAATGTTAACTGTGGTAATAAATCAAGAGAAGCAGGGTCGTTTTTGCACAGACCGCCAAACTTCTTTTTGCAAACAATGGCCACCTCTGGCTGGTTATCAGAGGGAAAGCAGATTCAAGGCACTTCTGCATTGGCTTTACGTTTCAGACCTTAAAAAATCCCTTTGTATGAAACACCTGTAATGCTGTGATGAAAGTCACATAAAATGCTAATTAAAGTCCACTAAAGCAGTGTGGGATTTCAGTATTAGAGCATATAGAATAAAGATTACAGTAGAAGAACCTCCGTTTTTAGTAAAAAAGCACAAACCATGGCATTTTTCAACACACCAGATACTGGTAGCAGCAGATTCATTATGATTTGATTCATTGCTGGCTCTCTTGCTTCCCTCTCTGGGGATATGGAAAGAAGTTGGCAGCTGTCTGGGAATAGCGGAAATAAATGTACTTTAACAGTTGATGAAGTTGCTTCTGTACAGTGAAGATACAGACTGTGAAACCACTTTAAGTCCCTTCAGAATATATTAATGCTTTGTCTTCAGCTAATTTGGTCTTGTAGGGTTCACGGTATGTCTCTTCAAATTGTATGTTACTGTACTGTACTTTGCCTAGTGCAGCGAGGACATTATTCATCACAGACTCAGTGATCTGAGGTCTGCCTGCTCTTTATGCTTCCCCTCTGAGGCACTGTGCTTTGGGCTTACATAACTGGAAGGGAAAAGGGCATGATGCACAGGGAACCAGCTGAAAGCAGTCACCTCAAGTGGAAAGGGAGCAGAGAAAACAGTAGCACGCAGGATATACTCCAATGTTCTGTAACTGTGATGCAATGAGGGACCATGGGGCTCCTGTCAAATTTATATTCACATAGTTACAGTTGATAGCACAGGCTGTAACTGCGATGAGTCCTCTATCTGCTACTATGACTGCATGTTAATTATTTGATAAGTTGTCAATGTTTCAGCACATGTGAGGCGTGTCAGATCACTTGCCGCCTCTCTGCAGCTCGGGTGGGCGTGCCATCTGACAGCGAAAGTTATGTCACATGAGCTTGACAGACTGACGTTTGAGATGTTAGAAAACAGCAAATGTATTCCTAGAAGGAGGTCGAAGGAAGTGACTCATCGCAATGTGGAGTGAGGGGAAAAAAAAAAAGCCTGTGGCATATTAGGGAGTGGGAAATGGGCTGCATGTTCATTTCCTTCACAATCTTTTGAGGGAACGTTAATTACACCTTGTGGACTACACTGAAAAATGTTCATGTTGGCCAATTAACGAAGAAATTACACCACTAATCATGCTGCATAGTAACAGGAAACCATCAACCCTATTAAAATTCAGTCATGTTGTTGCATTCATAGCCTCTGCGCTCCTCAGGTCCCCCGCTCCGGGTGTTTAAAGAGACAGTTCATCCTAAAATCAAAAGTACATATGTTTCCTCTTACCTGTAGTGCTATTTATCAGTCTAGATTGTTTTGGTGTGAGCTGCCAAGTATTGGAGATATCGGCCATAGAGATGTCTGCCCTCTATCGAATATAATGGAACTAGATGGCACTCAGCTTGGGGTGCATATATAGATATGTTGAGATGCTGGCATTGCAGCAATCTGTGAGTTCTGTCAACAATCTTTAATAATGTCCCACAGGAGTAAAGGCTGATGTGTACATTGACTGCTGTATCCACTATCAAGAGTCATCCAATTAACAGTGTGTGAAGTTGCGGTTATCTGACAGGACAGAAGCAAAATAAAACATATAATTAGTGCAGACTGCTCTGGATGATCAAGGAAATACCCACAATGAGAGCAGCGTCTGCTGGAAGGAGACAGCTAAGAGTTCTCCGAATGCCCACAAAAGGTCTGTCTTGACTGCAATGGTCACATCGCCAGTTTCTACTTGAAATTACATTCAGAACAGAGAATATACAGGAAGTGCTGCTGTTAAACAAGAGGTCAGGCTTATTACAGAACTGTTAATAGTCTATTAGTGAATCATATATGTTTAGGCCAGTTATAATAAGCACAAAATAAACATGATTATGAACCACCTGTAGTAATGAATAAGCTAAGAGTTTCATTTATGCGCAACTTATAGAAATCATAGATGATCCATTTAGCACTAAAGTCAATCTGAATTTTGGGGAACACTGGTTCATCGTATTCACCAGGGTCCTGACCTGACAGCAGTTTGCAACTGTAACCGAATTGTTTTGAGGGCAGTTGGATGTACTGCTAAATTCACGGAAATGACTAAAAGACCCAAAGCAGAGAGGAAGAGACACAAAAACGTAACAACATTGTCATTCATTATGTCGCAGGAGTGTCTGAGAAACTCAGAAGGATTTTCAACAAACACCACATCCCTGTGCACTTTAAACCCAGTAACACACTGAGACAGAAACTTGTCCACCCCAAGGACAAAACACCCAGACATAAGCAGAGTAATGTAGTGTATGCAGTTAAGTGCAACCAGGAATGCACAGATTTATACATTGGGGAGACAAAACAACCACTCCACAAGCGCATGGCACAACACAGGAGAGCCAGCTCCTCGGGTCAAGACTCAGCTGTCCACTTACATCTACAGGAGAGGGGACACTCCTTTGAGGACAGCAATGTGCAGGGAGGAAAGATGGTTTGAAAGAGGAGTAAAAGAAGCCATCTACGTCAAGCTGGAATGATCATTGTTAAACAGAGGGCGTGGCTTACGACACTACTTATCCCCCACCTACAATGCAGTCTTGGGATCCCTCCCCAGAAGACTTCACACCCATTCACCCCTGGTCCCACCTGACCCTAACGACTCACATGGTGGCCAGGTGGGTCAACAACTCACATTGTGACCTTAATGACTCTTTAACTAAGAGCTCACGTGACCCCTACAACTCTGCAAGGGTTCCCACCCACACAGGGGTTATAGCCTGCAACTTTGTACCAGTCATTTAGAACTGAAGAAGCTTCTTGGATGAGAGGCGAAACATCTTCAAGAAACGCAAGCAAGTCCAGTTGCCTACAATATTGGCACTTACAGTTACCATGACCTGGATGGCTGAGAATCTTCACCGACAAAATGACTATGGAGACGTCTTATGGTAGTGAAATGAACATTAAGTCCATGGGCAGCAGTTCTGGTGGACATTCCTGCAGTCAGCATGCTGACAGAATGTCCCCTTGGAACTTGACACATTTGGGGCATTGTGTTGCACATTTGTGTGGTAATGATGCTGTTTAATCAGCATCATGATATGCCACACAGGTGGATGGATATCTTGGAAAAGGAGAAGTGCTCACCAACACAGATTTTAACAAATTTGTGACAGAAATATATCTATTAAATGCATGAAAAAAGTCTTAGATCTTTAACTTAAACCTGTGAAAAATGGGATCAAAAACAAAAGTGCTGCATTTAAATTTCTGTTAAGTGTATTTTGCTTATATAAAATGTGAGCAGTGTCATGTAGGAACTATTTTCTGTCCTCTGAACTACGCCCACCAACCATATCACTGCGCAGAAGGAAGTGTGCATCTACTCATGGACGAGAGGCTCGTGCGCATTAAAGTGCAAGATGTAAACATTAATGGCCTTCTCCCCAGCTGAGCTGTGACGTTAGCTAGCTCAGTGGTGCTAGGTGAGCTAGCAGTGGATGACGCTACCCTCTGCAAGGTGATACAGGTGGTGGGTGTAGTTCCGTAGAGAGAAAATAGTTCCTGCATGAAACTGCTCAAAACAAGGTCTGTTGATTATCTTGAGTAACTGAGTCATGATTTCTCTACACACCGAGTGCCTCTTATTCCATTATACTGGAGAGAAGGAGACATCTCTCCAACACTCAGCAAATCACACCAAAACTATCTAGACTGATAAATAGCACTATGTATTGTATTTGTGGGTGAACTGTCCCTTTAATGTTTCTGCATGTGAAAATCATGTTGTCTTTTTAATCAATGATCCTCTTATCTCCCACCAGAAATGGCAAGTCAGCCAGACGAAGATCCGCGTCATCTCCACCCTGATCTTCATCCTATTTGGGTGCCTCATCTTCGTGGCTCTGCCAGTTGTCATATTTAAGCACATCGAGGGATGGAGCACACTCGAGTCCATCTACTTTGTCGTCATCACCCTCACCACGATTGGATTTGGAGACTTTGTCGCCGGTGAAAAAGGTCACTTGATTTTCTTCCTGATTTATAGACCTATTATCATTTTTATGTCTGATGCCTCATTTAGAATCAATATATTTATAGATAAGTGATTCCTCAGCCAGTGTGACTCAGCGGTAATCCTCCCGTTGGCCTGCTGTCACGTTCTGTGCCTCCCATTATGATACATGTGTTCTGACACTTTCTTAATGCATCTGAATCGCTGCCATACGTGAAGTGCTCCCATCTGTTGGAGCAGAAATCTATAATCATTCCTACAAAAAGATTATAATAACAACAATCATTATGATCTTAGGCAAATAATACTTAAAAATACCATAATTTACAGACAATTTTTTGTGTGTGTTGGAAACATGCCACCCACCCCGAACATTTAAAAGAATACTTTTATAATTTGGAAAATATACTTATTTGCTCGGGGATGGGTGAGAAGTGTTATGTTTGTAATGTAATGATGAAGCTTGAGGCAGCAGCCAGTTATCTTAGCTTAGCATAAAGGAAAGGAAAGGAAAGGAAAGGAAAGGAAAGGAAACCTCTTTAATTAACATCATATATTTTGTTTGAGTAAAAAGACATGTCTGTGAAGAAGACAGAAAGAGTGTGTGTGTGTATCTTTAAGTGTGTGCATGTGTGTAAGCAGGTGGTATTAGCTCGCTCTGACCTGCTTGACAAACAGGAAGGGAGAGGCAGATGGGAAAAATCACAAACACTTAGCTGCTAGATTAAACTTCCCTGAGCAGGCCTAATGATTATGGATTAGATTACTGTAACTACAAGGGCTGGCACAGGTGGTGTAAAGTAAGCCTGGACTGCTGTTAGTGGAGCTGGTGCTGTAATGGCGGTTCTCTAACTGCACAGTGAGCGGGCTGGCTCTGCTGCATCATACCATCTGATTTTCTGAGGGCTCATCCAAAAATAAAGTCACATAATCAGAGCCAAAATGGCATTTAAATGTTCTGAATGTAATGTTCTTGTGGGCGCAGGACTTACATTATTAAGGTGAGGCAGAGTAAGCCCACACAGCTGATGTAAGATGGATCCAGTACAACCTCAAGTGCAGAATCAGACATATTACAGATATATTTTCTACTCGCTGTCAAAACCTCTACAGGAAAGCTTTACCTTTCATCCTGATCAACGATAATCGTCCTTCATGAAGACTTAGTACCTGACTAAGTTAATGTCTTATAAGTCTTTGGGCCTTATCTTACACTCATTGCTAATAAAAGACTGATGCAGTTGACGTTTTTATAGCCAGTGCCCATTTTGTGTAGGTACTTCAGCCCATCTGTGCACCAATGGGCATATAGGTCTTAAAATGAGGTGCCATCTTTGTTGGCACATTGTTGATGTATTCCTATTTTGACGCAATAGAAAGCGATTGCACCATTGACCAACAAAACCTAGTCTGAAGTCAGAATGGTACAGTATTTTTTTGCCATTTAAAGGGCATTGCCATTATTTAGATAGGAAGATAGGAAGCAGAGGTGGGGTCGAATCACATCAGCAAAGCAATTTGCTCAGTTTGAGTCGAGGGGTGGAGGATTGATCAGTCGATCAGCTTGTGGTCAGATCGATCAGAGGCAAGTGAGTGCAAACTTTCAGATCAAGTGGTGAACTGCGGGATGCACAGTGTCCATGGGAAATGGACAACTGCTGGACAACACTAAGATGAGAGCGCTGTTGTTTTAGGAAATGCAGCATTCTGGTACTGTAAGAATCAATAAACAGTAATGATTCACTGTCACTGTGCCCTCTGTGTTCTGAAGCTCTGTCTGTGCCCAAACACTCTGCGCTCCAAGAGTGTAATGCACTGAATAACCAAACAGTATATATCCACCTGATGTACGAGCCAGCCCTCAAAAATACAAAAAAAAAAAAATCAACATGTGGCAAGACACCACAAATAAATGAATGTGTGGGAAACCCTGCGCCTACATAGTCAGGTCATATACGCTTGTTAAACAAGGGTGGGTGAAATAATACATCCTTGTTAAAGAATATATCAGTGACATCCTCTAAAATGTGAACGTAGCAGAGAGCAGAGCAGAGCTGTTGTCCAACTCCCCATTAAGAGAGACGGTGTGTGTATTTACGAGCAGCGTAACTTCATTAATCATTTCAGAGGCTACGAGTTTAGTTCTGTTTCCTCTGAGAAGTTAAGAACTATAATTTTTAGTTTTGCCACTTAAATGTCCCACGATACTTGCTGCAGTGACATTATTGCTCTAACTGCATTACTCTCTGCAGAAAACCACTCTCTTATCCAATTTGCCAAACCCACAATGGAAACAGCAGTGTGCCAGGTGCAGATGTACTTGGCTTTTAATGGGGATGGAAGATGACACTGTGACTGGATGAATTCATGTCACGCCCAGAGTTAAAATTAAATTAAAAATTAAAGGCCCCTTGTGCCTTACTATGTGCCCACAGTATACATAGTTTAAATAGCAAAAGTGGAGTTGGGCATGCCTTTAATGCACTTTTATCATGCACTGTAGACCATGCGCTATTGATTTTTTAAGTAGGGCCCTTTGTTATGTTTTAAAGAACTGAACAAAATATCCCAAGTTAGAAAGAAAAAAAACTTAATATAACTTTTTCAGTGTCACTGAGGAGGCACAAATGCATTGGGTTGTATTTATCGTAATATACTACTGAGTTCATGCACTTAGTTTTTGCAGATGTTACCAGTGTTAGATCAAAGTCAAGATTTTATAATGTTTCTCTGTGTACAATAAATATTAATCAAGTGATTTACAGGGAAAGATAACAGTCCCTGAATATTGTTGAGCAATTTAATTCAAATTAGTCTCAATTTCTATCCCTCTTTATTTTCCATACATTCTTACAAAATTGTCTTATTCAGAACTGAGTCAAACACCCAGGCGCAATTTAAGGCAGCAGTACTACAGAAAGACAAGGCTACCCTTCTAAAATCAAGCAGGAGGCTCAATATATGACACAAGTATGAAAGTTAAAGACCCATTTTACTCACCTGACTTAACTCCCTGCATGAGGGAACTAAAATCAGTCCTGCATGTTTATGTTCTTCCTCTCAGTGTGATACAGTTTGGTAACGGTAACATATGTGACTCAGGATTATGGAACAGACTTGTGTAACCCCCTTGTGTCTTTGTCTCTGCAGGTGGGTCAGAGAATCCAGAGTTCCTGAACTACTACAAGCCTGTGGTGTGGTTCTGGATCCTGGTGGGCCTGGCGTACTTTGCCGCTGTGCTCAGTATGATTGGAGACTGGTTCCGGGTCATTTCCAAGAAAACTAAAGAGGAGGTACGTGCTGATTTGCTGGGAGTTATGTCACACCAGAGGTGAAGCAAGTAAGACGGAAAAATGGAGTTTGATTGCTGCATGATTGAACTACTTAAAGAAACAGCCCCTGCCAGTCCCACCATGAGTCAGAGAATGCATCACTGTTACTGAAAAAGAATATACAGACAGACGGACGAATTCACAAAGAATGGAATCATGAATTTTGCATTACTTGCAATCGTCATCTGCCCCGCCGCTTAGTCTGATTCACAAAAGATATTCCGTAAATGACATTACAGTGCAAACAAGTCTATCAAGTTTTGAAGATGAGTGTGCCCTTTTTGTGTCTGATTGAATTATCAATGTGGCAAAGCGGTTGTGTTCCCTTTATGCCAAGAACACGAGGCAGAACAACAGCCGAAAGGAAAAGAAAATTGAAATTTTCAGACCACAAGCGCCAGGTCCTGACCGACGAGGTTCACAGCATCACCTGGCATGATGATGCCTTTGCCTTGCTACAATCGCTGGTAAAACTGGGTGTGACACCCCTTATAAATGTGCTTCAATTACCACCAACTGTAATGGTGTGTGGCTATTAGAGCTGATCTTCTTAGAGTGGACTGCTTTTGCGATGAGGTTCATTTGCATAGAAAGGGGCCAGTTTTGTGTCAAATGTATACATATTCAAACATGCAAATAAAACAGAAGCGCCTTGACAGTATTGACCTGGCAGTGCAATTATGGATGCATTTCATTCTTTGCAGGTGCTTTGAGAATAACAAGGTTAAGGGTTCAGTATGCTAGAACTGCATGACTGCCTGCCCAATCTCCCTCTAAGCATGGTTGGATTCACTTTCAAGGGCTACAAGGGAAAAAAATTCTGTTTGGTCACATGGACACCACTGGTTGCAGCATTGAAAGTGGGGCCTCATTCATTTCTGTGAAAGTTTCTCAGCGGCACATGAAGCCAAAAAGGTTTTATTTCCTAGGTATAAGATACCTGGATCTTCCGCATCACTGGGCACATGGAGCAAGCACTTCAGAGACTTCGCTGGCCGAAACTGGCTACTTTCGGTTTAGCGCTCAGCTTACTCGGATGGAGATTAAATGATTGTGTGGCACCTTTAGACTTTCAAAATGTTATCAGGCCGAAAGTATCACATCCTGATAGTGAAACCAGTCATGTTGCGAGAGTTGTAATGCTCAGAAAGTCTTTTTAGCCTCAAAGGCATCACGGGACGGACCCAGATGTTGTAGTTACACAGTTTGCCCACTATGTCAGATTGGCTTCAAAGTCTGGTGCACTTCCTGGGACTTGTTTGGTCCCTATAGACGCCACACTTCTCTTGAAGACTATCCACCTGGTGAGCACAAAATAAACTACAATACTGTGGTAATGTGTTAAAACCAGACTTTGGGTTCAGTACATTACGACATTATAAAAAGAAGATATCCATGATTAAGAGTATGTTGGGGTATCCATCTTGAGATAACGTTTTTTTGGCTGCAGCTAAACCATCAAAAAGATCCTTTTTCTAATGGTTGAATAGATTCAAAGAAGAGTCATTGTTCAGCAGCCACAAATAAAATATTGTAGGCAGAGGGACATTTGCAGTTAGCTCACAGGTGAGATCACATCCGTCTCCCCCTCGTAGTGATAGAGTAATACCTCACAGCGTTTCCTAGTTCACTCTTCAATCTGAAGTGATGAATTGCCGTGGTGGTGGCACTCCTGTGGAGAAAATGCCATTTCGTGCAAGAGTTGGATTAAATTTTTGGTGTGTTTCCAGCAGGTGGCTGCAGGGTAATAAGATAGCGTGGTATTCTGGCGGGTTTGTTATTTACATGTTAAAAGGTTGGAGAGAGCCACATATGAACGTTCAAATGCAATCTCCTGTATAAAATCAGCTGCGTGCACATCTCATTTCTTTATTCTATATAATGCAAGAAAGTGGAGTCTAGGGGGGGTATGTGGCAATCTGCAGTGGGAATCCTCGTGTAATTAGGAGTGCAGCCTTTGGAGCCTGTGACTGAGAGAAGGTTTCAGTGGGAAGTTGATGGTTTGGGGAAGGCGGGGGGAAAACGATCAGGCAGAGAAAGTGAGAAGAAAGAAGAGAAAGCACATACTTTAGTGTTTGTGCTCTAGTGTGTGTGTCTAATGTGTGCACACATACAGACACAACCCATAAATTTTAACCTGAGCACTCAGAAGTCCACTTTGAACAAGCACACCTCAGAGCCTCACAGATAATTAAACAGCCTGGAGAAAGAAGCCTAATGCATTATGAAGGGGAGATCAATGATGTGTTGCTTCTCAGGGACCATAAACAGACAGACAGTGCCCAGTGTCCAGTCTCCAGAAACCTGGGCCATCAGGTCACACACATACGCATTTCATTTTTTAATGCTTGAGGCCGTGAAGTGAAGTGATGGGTGGGGAAGGTGCAAGCATGTCTACACCGTATCTGTATCACAACACCTCTCAACAGCAATAGCTTCAGATAGTACCACTGTATAAATTCAAGTGGAAATTACAAACTTCTTATTCACAAATGATCCTACACACAACAGCAAACTTCTTAGGACAGCATAAGTAGCTCCTGAATAATGAGCCTGTAGGTATTTTCTGGCCGAACAGCTCTGGGGACTCCCTGAGAGGAAGTGCCCACTGAGGAGCTCCCCCGAGGACTACATAACCTTCAAGGACTCTTTGCATTCACACCATCAATACGGAAGCTACAGTGACAAAGGCTGGCTGATGAGTCAGAATTGCCTGATACTCCCACCATCACACCAACTGACCTCACTGTCGGTCCATTTGTCCGTGTTGTCTTCTGTTTTGTCTTGGTTTTTTCATTATAAGCTGTTGTATTTGTTATGTGTTGTCTGTTGTCAACGCAGCCAATGGGATTGGCTCAATCACTGTACATTCAAGGTTTCTCTTGTGCTGATAGAGTATCTACTCCGAAATAGAGGCTTAAAAAGTCCTTCTAGAGCGTTCCCAGACCTACAATCGTTCCTATGCTGCCTTCAAATGGAACTCGTGAGCTCATGGCCACCACATGGGAAGCCGTATTCACAGTTTGCCTCTTAAGTCAGGAGAGTACCGCTGCTAGGCAACAGCAACATGGACGCTACTGTTGGCACCTAGAAGCCACCAAAGCTAGCAATTTAGCAAGCAAGCAAGGGGGTCATGTCAGAAATGCGAAGGCATTATGACAGACAAAAAAGATGAGGCTGCTGGGAATATTAACATTTTCCTCTGTATAGCCCTTTCCCACACAAAAAAAAACACTTACCACCAGCTAACATTTGGCTGTTTAGTACAGTGGGAGAGGCTTTAAATCAGCATTCACACCCAGGTGAGGTGACTCTGGAGTAGTCACAGTATTTATTGCCTCTGGCTTCGATCAGCATTGATGAAAACACAACACATGGGTGAACGTACTAATTTTAGCTCCTCTACCGACGAGATGCAACAATGCACCACCACAAAATACCGCCTGTTTCCACTCAAACATTGATCCAAATTAGTCTGCCCTGAGTTTGAGAGACTGAATGAATAAGAGATACATAAAAAGTAGTAATCACCTTAACGTTTTCACTGGCCTCTATGCTCCTCTCTACTGACCTGTCTGTGACGTCAGACATGACACACCAAAAAAGAAACCCACACACAGAAAGACATGCTCGTCCGCTGCGGAGCCATGTACACAGCTCTGATCTACTGGCAATGGGAAAGGAGTCTATAGCCTATTTTTAGCAGGTATACCCACATGTTAATAACCTGCGTACATGAGCTAATGTTGGTGGAGCAGGGGTACATGATTAAAATCACAATATATCAACTGACCATTCATTCTTAAATTAATGTTCATGGCCTCCACCATTTCTGAAAATGTCAGCAAAAACGTCACAACTTGCAAACTCTGACCTTTCAGGACATTTCATTTGATGAGTTTGTGAACACCACAACAAGGGGGCATTCATATGAATTCTTCTCAGGAGCACAGTAAACACTCCCAGTGCTAGTTCTTGTGGTGTGGACACAATAAAAAGGGGCTTCTTAGAGATATGAAAAAGTTCCTATGGTCCTAAAACATCTTTATCTTACTTCTTGGTTCCTGGAGAACAAAATCTGCATATTTTCTTGAAGACATTTTGGCAAATAACTGTTTACTGTCTTGCCAAGAAAAAGATTAGAACATTGATACCACTCTCATTTGTCTGGTAAACACATGGCTCCAGCCTGCAGACAGTTAACTTTTTTGTTACCTACATGTTTTCGGTCTTTTTGCTAAGCTAAGCTATCTGACTGTTAGTGCGGCTTCATCTGTAATGTACGGATATGAGAGTGGTATCGATCTTCTCATGCAACTCTCAGCAAGACGTACAAATAAACACAAGAAATTTGTGCTCTAGAAAAGGATCAGCACTCAGTGAATAACCTCCTAAGCCCTATGATAAGCTATTATGGCAAGGCTTAACTATACAGACCAGTGAGCAGTGATAACTAACATGTCTTTGGGGTCATCAGGTGGGAACCAACTTTCAACAGTGTTTAATCTAGTTGGTCCCACGACACCTCCAGGAGGCTAGACAGTGATCTCCGGCGTCCCAGAGACACTCCCCTAATGCCAGGTCTCACTGCTCCCCGCACCAACCCAACAACCTCCTTTACCTTACATACACATGGCTTTCTCAGCCCAAACAGCACTGCCACCTTCAAACCCAGGCTCCGTTTATGCGAGCTCCAGGTAGTGACCGTGCCGATACTACCTTTCCTAGGAGAATGAGCATATCTTCCAAAATGCTGAACTGTCACTAACAATCATTCCTAAATAACTCAGGAATGAGTTGAATCAGATTCTAAATGGCACGACACTGATAAGTATCTATACCTCGTCACATCTGCCGCAAAGAAAATATATTATTTTTAATAATTTATTTTTTTAAATCTCCCCATCTGCAGTTGCACTCTGTCTGATTAGCATTTTCTGCGAATAATAGATGAAGGTCATGTGTATCATTAATTGGAGAGCAGCCAAAGCATTTAAAAAGAAGTCTGTGCAAATGAATGGTAATGGCATTTGAGTTCACATGAGTGAACTCCATTAATCATTGGTCAGTTGTTGACATTTAGGTGGTCAGTTCTATTAACCTATCATGTCTGACACCAATGAATGAATAATACCTTTAGCCTAAGAATAGGCTTTTCTGCATGGTAGATCTTTGTTAACCATTAAGGCACCAAAAGGTGGGGGTCTAGGGTCTTGTTGATGAGGCCTACTGCAGTCGGGAAGAAACTGTTTTTGTGGCGTGGCATGCTAAAACTGTAGCATGTGTGGATGTTTTGCTGTATAGGGAGGAAGACGTTGTGCTCAGTCACCTGCAGGCATTAATCTTCTGTATCTCTCTACAGGTTGGGGAGTTTCGAGCTCACGCAGCTGAGTGGACGGCAAATGTGTCAGCAGAGTTCAAAGAGACCCGGAGGCGACTCAGCGTTGACATCTATGACAAGTTCCAGCGCGCTGCATCCATCAAGCGCAAGCTGTCATCTGAGCTGGGTATCAATACCATCAACCAGGAAATGACTCCTGGCAAGAGGACGCTGTCTGCCAACCTGTGTGAGGATAAAGAGGCCTACCCCAACATGGCTCTCTCTCTTAGTCCTGTCCCAGGGACACTCGCCAGGAACGGCAGCCTCTACCTGAACGGCCTCAGCCCAGACTATGCTGATCGGCGAGAGATTGCCATCATTGAAACTCTCAAATGAGGAGCAGCATGAAATGAGATTCAGGAAACTGTGTGAAACATGTCTGGTGGTGGACAGAGCTTATAGACACATACACACTTTAGTGCTTATTGACTGAGCATTTGTGATACAGTACCTGTGCGTGCGCATTCATTAAGTGGATTGTGCTCCAATCATTGATTAAAAACCTCGAGAGTGACTTCAGAGATCAATCATCAAGCTCCCTCCTTTCATGTGTGTGATTGAAACTCAAACAAAAGCGTATGATGTTCCAGCTCTCAGGTCCCATTCATGCAACAGAGGACAGACTTCCTTTCATTGTGTCCATGCCAACATGATCGACAGCTGTGCTAGCGATTGAGCCAAATCAGAAGTGTGCTCCAGACTGGAACAAATGATTGTATTTAGAGGCATGAGTTTAACAAACTTATCTAATGAGCAGGAAGGAAATGAACGCCCATATTGTGGTAGCAGCGCATTGGACATCTTCTCACATACCCACAAACAAGCCTGTGAACACACAGGAGGTAAATGCATTCATCAAACCTAGAAAGCAATAGATGCATCTGTGCTCATCATCTCTTTGAATTTCCAGAGGCCCTGAAATCTGCATCAGATAAAGAGGATCCTCACTGCTGAAAGCAATTCACAATCAACAATGAACGCTTGTTCTTGATGAGGCAGCAGTCCTGCGCTAACACAAAGGAATGTGGCTTTTCTCTTTTAAGTTTACACCTCTTCCAGTATGAATTTATATGCCTTGCATTTCACCGATCAGTCTGCCCTCGCTTAGGAGACGAATGTTGATGCTTTTGTTCCTCCATGACTGACATTCAGCTTTTCACCCTAAGGAATAATCCACTTGTGCCTTAGCAAACATGTGAGGATGGTGACGCATGAAGGACTGAGATTCGCTTTGTCTGTCCACTCATACTTGTTATATATGTTATATATATATATAAATATATGAGCACAGTAGTTAAAAAGGACATATTCAGAAGGCATCTTGGAATAAAAACAGTATGAAGAAGAGGCCAACAGATGAGGAGGACATGGACTTCTTAAGTTATTTAAAGAGGAATCTACAGTATGCATGGCAACCAAGTGGAAAAACTGTTTCTTAACAACTGGGAAAATGTCAGCTTTCAGTCTGCCAGTGTGATTTAGACATTTCCTATCAGTCTTACTGTATTGAGTTACAACTACACAGTGCCAAGCTCACTTATCAGACCCCATTCTCCCCGATACCAAAGTAACTATCCTGTTTTAAGGACTTCTGTGTGATCAGAAGGATCAGGAGTGCTCTCTGTGATTTCTAGAAATTTAATCCACTGTTTTTTTTCTTTTATCATGAAATTGAAACTTAATGCTTGGTGTGACAACACTGTCTTTTTTCCAATTGGGAATAAATCCTGGCATGTACAGTACTGTAGCAATAAAAGCGGTATCTTTACCTTACTGCTTTTTATGTTGCAGCTCTCGTCACTACCTTCAGATATAAAGGACGGGAATATTCCCTCAGCTGTTGAAGATGAGATCCTTTATGTCTCACCAATGATGAATGTACACCATCAGAAACCTTTATTTACTGTATATCACTGCAGTGACTAAATTATAGGATTTTAGAGGTGTATGAGTTGCATTGATTTAAATAAACGCCTCTCTGCAGCTGATTTGGTGTCGATTAAAGATTACAAAAATGGTAGCAGTATCATGGCACAGCAAAAATGTATTTCATATTTTAAACAGGCCCCTTAAAATGAGAATTTCTGCAAGGATGGGAATGGATTGCTTCATGCATTATGCAAGGATATTTTAGGTTCTGGTGTCTCCCAGTTGAGTGGTTTGGATTGTGTGTCTCATGGTGTTATTCAGTGCTTTTAACCAGCATGACATGCTGTAATATTCTCAATACGTTTGACCGTGCTATTTACAGTTTGTAGCATTAAAATGCATTTACAATACATTTACAAGACAGTATACCATGTGGCAAACCAAGCCTACTTGTCTGCTAAACCAAATTACTGTAATACCTTGGTCGTCATGTAGAAAGGAGTGTTTTGTGTTAAAAATGTGGCAGGTGCACCAGCTCCTTAGTTTCAAAACATAGTCTAGTGATGAGGTGGAGATTTATACATCACTAAATTTAAACAGCTTGCACCAAGCAGACTTGGTCTTAGATTAGATGTAGAGATTCGTTTTTACTAAAAATGTACACCCATTTGATGTAAAAGTCACATAGCTAACTGAATTTACTGTCAAAAAGTGCATTAACTTGCTAATTTATTACCTGCTGAGAATGATGACTACAAGAGGTAATGTAAGTATTAAACACATCTGACCCGACACTTAGCTATTTATTAAAGATTTTAAACTACGTTGACAAAAATGACACAATAGACCACAAACTAAAAGATATACCAATACAGTTACACTAAATAACCAAATAATGGTTAGCATATTTCCCCACTCATTTTAAACTGCGAAAACTAAGTCAGAAAAACACACTTCCCTATCTTTGCATTATGCATCATTAAAGCTTATCAGCATCCCATTTGCAAGGAAAATATGTTGGAATTGTACATTTCTGCAAACCATGGATACATTTGTATCATTATGTAAGTGACGGAGAACAGGAGCTGACTTTGTCATCAGTAGGTGATGGTTGGTGTGTCACCCTGCAGACCACTGTAAAAGACCAACAAATGACAAAAATGGCTATTTTATGGTGTGTCATCATTGTGATCCCAGTGGCTTTTTGGCCACCACAATGGGGTTTTTTTGGCAACCTGTTGCTTTCCACCAGCAATAGTTCCACGAATAGTGATTGTTTTTTTACCAAGCTATTGCTGTGTCTCCAGCAAGGATTGTGATGTGAAAAATGGATGATTTTTATGAGACCTCAACGGCTTCTCTAGCCATGGTTGTGTCACCAAAACTGTTTTTTTAACCCAAAAATGATCTCTTCCTTACCTTAACCAAGTGATACCTAAACATAACCATACATTAACCACAGCATTGTTTGATTTGATTTGATTGTCAGAATAAACTTGAAATTTGTCTTGAATCCCAGGACATCAACTGTTTAACATAAATACACATAAAAACAAAAATAACTTTCAACCAAACATCAAAATCATACAACAAATGCTAGAACTCATAACAGACATTATGAAAAGTGGATGTGGTGCAATATATTACTTATTAACTATAACATTCAGTGTCCGACCCAGGATACTGAGAAACCATACATTGATTTAATAGGTTGACAGGCTCAGGAACAAATGAGTTCCTCGTGCAGTTCAGTCGAGTCTGTGGGACTCTAAATCTTCTGTTTGATGGCAAAAGCTGATATTCTTCAAATAATGTGTGAGGTGTCAGAAGTAATTTTATCAGCAAGAGACAATGTAAATCAAATTTTTGAGGTATCCGCTACATAGTAACTTACAAATATAAGGTATCCATGGTTTGCAGCAACGTCCAATGCCAATAATTTTTCTGGTGACGATCTTAATATATCGCTCTGCCTCCTAAAACTGGAAATAAGATTATAAGTCATTACAGATGTTTACTAGAAACCAATTTGCACTTCAATAAAATCTTATCTAGCTAAGACATTGCCAGAGTTTACTGGCCCAAGTGTGAACTAGCTAGCCCTTATTAAGAAATCATGAAGGACTTTACACACACAATCAGCAATAGATTCACAATTAGCTGGTGCAGCCCAGTCTAGGACAGACTAGTAGGACAGTATTACCAGGTTGTGAGTTTGCTCTTTTTTCTGTTCTGAATCTCCTGGTTTTCTTGAAAAGGTTGCCCCAAGTGTGAGCACTGGCTGACGTACTGTAAGGTCATCAGCTGTCATGTGTAATCAAGTCAAAGAGGAAACATGAAGAGATTGTGAAGCAAAGAGAATGAAGAACAGGATAATGAGGATGGGTGACTTTCAAACATGGTTGAGTTTCTGGAAAAAAATATTTATATGTGTTCTTGTGTTTCTAAAAAGCAACCAATAGCATCAAAACACTGTATGTTGTACTGACTGGCAATACACTGACAGAAAGACTACTATACATTAATAACTGTGGGGAAGCAGTGTGAGATCTAGTGCAGCTGCTCAAAGCAAAGCCCCCAGAATTCATCCCACTGCGTTTTCTCAGTCAGCCGTGTGACTGACAGCCACTCAGAGGAGAGCTGTCAGTGCTGAAGAAAGTCAATGACACGTTACATAATTTGTCAGGCTAAGGCCATATGTCAGGATACCCATGCATGATTGTGTTTACAGTAAGTGGTTGTGTGCATGAATGTACGTGTGAATGCGTGTGTGTATTGGGGTTTGATAAAACTCATTTAATTTCCACCCACAGCATTTTCACAGGGCCTCCTCTTCTGTTCCCTGGTGACAGTTTTTTAATTAAGTCTGTTGCTGCATCAGAATCCCAGTTCAAGCATGTTGAATGTATCTATTCATTCATGACGGCAGAGATGAGCCTCATTATGAATGTAAGCACATTTATGATTTAACATTGTGATTAATGTACACAGAGGAGTTCAATTAGCTCAGTGGGTATGCTGTGAAAACAGCTACAGGCTTTTCAAAGCCACTGGCCTTCATTTAATTAAAAAACACAACGCCATAAAAACACGATTATGCACCAATCATAGTCGTAATCATCATAACAGATAGCACTGTTATGAAATTGTGCATCAGTGACATTAACATCCATTTTTCATAAACAACTTTGATTGGGTCAACTTCCAAAAATGTATGCATGAAAATATTTTTAAATGAGACCTGTTATGTCAAGGCAAACAAATTTGTTAACTCTCTTTTCTTTAGAATTTCCCAATAACCTCTTCTGTAAAAAACATTTGCTGATATACATGTGAGGGTCAGTGTCCACATTAAAGCCACATTATTTCATCAAGTCTTGCATGCCACTTTAAATGTTACTTCCAGTGTTTATAGATCAGATGTGTCTATAATTGCAGGCTCTGCTTTGATTTTGATAATATGGCAACCATGTGTTTCCAGTATGTTCAAATATTAATGTGGGTATGTCATTTCAGATCACGACAAACTTTTCAGAAGGTTTAGAATAAAACATTTTCTATGAAAAAAAACCCTGAAGGTCACTGTTCTTTCTTTCAGCTGTTGGACAAGTATGGTGTATTTCTATATTTTACTCAACACATCCCACTGAAGGACCAAAAAGACAATGCAATAGTTCATCTCTCCTGTCTTGGGCACTCAGCCCAGAGCCCACTGGTTGCAGTTGAAGACATACATTGTTAAAAATGGTTCACAAAGTCATAGTTTAAAAAAGGCCAAGTCACTGCCCCAAACACCTGGGAACTGTAGTTTTAAGCAAATCTTACTCAAACAGAAGTAAATAATGTATTTGTAAGGGACTCTTTTCAGTGGCGGATGAATACACATTTGGTGCTCTTATGAGTATTTTTGGTAGCAGGACAGTATATCAGGGATTGGCTTAAAACTACAGTGTCCATGTTCATGGCAATGAAGAAACATGCAACCCAGCGCAAAGATGTGATACATTTGTGTCTTTTTTAAATAGTTTTAAGCCTATGTCACAGAAAAACAACCCATATCATGCATTAGCTACATACTGTATGCTTTACTTATTAGCAGGATCAGCTGATTGGGGCTTTCAGTTGTTTTTGGCAATTTTAAACACACATCAAAGCAGTGTGTCTGGACAAAAATGATCGAAAATACTTTTATAGTAGGATTCTGTTTTGTTTTGTACCAGCACACTGCATGGGTGGGTGTTAGCCTCTGCCAGTTTTGTCCCTTGTCTCTGATTCTGTTTGTGATATTTATGGGTAGGATCTCAAGGCGCAGCTAGGGGAGAGGAAGGGGTCTGGTTTGGTGAGATAGGAATTGCTTCTCTGCTTT